GCCAGGTTGGCACAATAAACTACCTTACTTCCTAACTGTGTTTAAAATCAAGTATTTCAGTGTTGATCATGCTGAAGACTCTGTGTTAAATCTAAGCATGGTGAACACCACAGATGATGCCCAAGGATTCTAAAAAAATAATACTGTCCTGGATCTTAAAGAATTGTACTAAGGCAAATGGTCCTACAGGGGGTAACTGAAATGGAGAAGTCTATGCAGAAGAAAGCACACCGTTCTATCTGTCTGCGATCAAAGATTTTCATATAACCCTTGATCAAAAGAAGGGATGTGTATGAGGTTCTAAAATCAGAGGGACTTGGTTTGTATGAATCTCAAAACTCAGAAAAAGCTTATTGCTATCTAGTCTGTTCTGAGTCTTAGTGACCCTATAAGGCAGGGTAGTACTGTCACTGTGGGTTTCTGAGACGGTAACTCTTTACAGGCATAGAAAGCTTCCTCATTTTCCATCAGGTTCAACCTGTTGACCTTGAGGTTAGCAGCCTAATGCATAACCCCTGTGCCACCTGGGCTTCTCTACAACAGCCTAAAAGTGGAACTAGCATTCCATATTAAATTCTTGATGTGAGTCTAGACCCCACGTCTTCCTTTTATAGGGTGCTTCTATAACAGAAGTACCACAAAGGGAGAGCTTTAACAAACAAAACTTTGTTTTCTTAGAGCCTAGAATCTGAATTCAGGACTCTGCTCTAGGCAAAGGCTTTGTCTTTCTGTCTCAGCTCCAGGAGAAGGCCCTTGTCTCCCTTTATTATTATTATTTACCTGTTTGTTGTGAACTGGGTAAAGTTTTACAGAGCAGATCATCCGTTTTATGCATAATGATTCATGCACATTCTGTTTCATGTCATTGATTGCAATCCCCTCAGTGTAACATCACCTATCTCATCTCCTTCCTGTGTGTCCTGTCCCCATTCCACCTTCCTCCCTAACCCTTGTGAACTTTGTTCATGGGTAAATGCTGCCCTCTTGATCCCAACTTGCCAATTATTCTGTGTGCCACACCAATGGCGTTATTATCCAACCCTTTTAGACATAGCAAATGTTGGGCTGAAAATTGGACCACAAGGGTAAGTTCAAAAGGAGGCCAAGGACCACAGTCTCGTGGGTTCCAGAGAGCTCTATCCAACAAGCAAAAGTGGTCTCCTTCATGGTTTTGAGTTTTGTAATATAGCTTTCTCCCACTTTCTCCAACCCCTTCTAATGCCATCCAATTCAGAGCCATTGGTAGTAGTACCAGGTACCATCTACTTCTTCTG